TAAATGCCACAGGTTGACAAAATCTTGTTTGGTTTATAGTTTTAACACTTGTCCTCATGTGTGCACTGATGGAGCACACTCATACACAGTACTAAGAACAGTACTATTTGGCCACTATACAAGAAGTCCTTCCAAATTAAAGCAATTTTAACAGAGGTAGGTAATTCTACCCCTAGTTTACAAAATACACTGTGGTGTACTTTAAATACCTATTTATAACATTTAAGTAAGTTCTGCTAGCCATCTGGAATATTTAACAAGCCCTCCAACATTCTACAATGGCACGAAGCAATTATAATGGGACTTTCCCCCATACAATGATGTGTACCCAGTGGCTGATCTAAACCGAAATTCCCATACTTACTGTTTTGATGCACTTATGAAGGATAGATTCATGAATAAGATCAAGCTTTCCAAGTTCTCCAATGAATTTGATGTTCCCCAACATCTTGATCTTAGCAATGGCTCTCTGTTCCTCCTCCTCGGGGAGGAGGGGATTTTCACGCTTATCATAGACTGAAAATATACAACAAAGGAAAAAAGTCAACTTCCAGAATAAAGTTGAAAATACACAGTACCACGTAACAAATATAAACTCTCACCATCAACATTTCTGGTTCGGTTTTCAAATTCATCTTGTAATTTGGAAATTAGGAGGCGTCTGAATGTCTGTAGGAAACAAAGACATTTGGCAGGTTTTGTTAATGAAATCTTTCAAATCAACTTTAAAAAGTTAGCAAGCAACACCACCACTTACTGTGCTTTGCTTCTGTCCTGGTTGACCCTCTGCTGCTGGGCCATCAAAGTTTGGTGCATCTTCTGCCAATCGCAGACATAGCTGAGCATACAGTGAGCTATACTTTGGCTCTTCTAGGGCTTTGTCCACAATCTACAGAAAATGACATTTTTAAAACTAAATACTACTTTTTGAAAGAACCCTTGCTTTAACTTAATACTTCCTTGCAAGTCTTAAGGATCTTAAATGTCATAAGAACTTACATGTCGTAAAAGATCTCGGCCTATCTACCTTATGCATGTTAAATAATTAGCACACACCCCAGAAAAATACAAGCACTTAAATATTAGCTCAAAGATGGTACCAAAAAGTCCAACTGTACAGATTTCATATAAGTCACACCACACCACCAAGAGTTGAAAATATCTTGGATATTGAAACTATAAACACACACTGGAATCTTACTATCAACTTACTCTACGATTCATTTCCAAGACCAAAGGAGGCTTTCCACAGAAAAACATAACACCACCCCCCAAAACCTGATTAGCCTGTGCTTAGCCCCTAACTCTCCACACATAGTATGAACATATATGTATTTTTTAGCATGAACAATTTAAAATGCACCTTTTATGTCAGGACAACCACACTTGCTATAAGCACTGTGTAATGTATCAAATTATCAGATCACTAGTTGTACACCTGAAACTAATGTTAACACTGTATGTCTAACTATACTTCAATATAAAAATAAACATCCACCTCTTAAATCTGATGCTTTCAAAACTTAGTGGTTCTTTTTTTAAAAGCACCACCACAATTCAAAAATAAATGTATCTAGCTCACATCTGAGTTTTAAGCAACAATTCAAGTGTACCAAAAAACCCTTGGATCTGTTAACTATTTTTCTTTCAGTTAAGCCAACTTTTAACTTACCAGCAGTATGACCCCTTTAAGGATGAGTTTAGACTCTACACCCACATTGAGGAGCTCAAGGCATAGCTTGTCAAACTTTTCAGGAGTAAGCTTATTTAGTATGCTGGGGAGAAAGGAATTGCACTAAGTGTCAGGCAACAAAGAATTAAGAGTTGAAAAACAACTTTTAAATTATGTTAATTTTTTCTTCCATCATTGACTATCTAAGATCTTTTTACCCATGTAGCCAAGAGTATGTTAAAATAAACCTCTATTATTTAGATCATATCTGTACCTGGTTGGGGGTCCCCAGCTGTTTGACAATTCTTTCTCGCTACCTCAAAACCCAGAAAACAAGAATCTCATCATCAAGGCTAAATTCCAGGAACTAAATACCATATGTTCCATGCTTCAGTGGGTTACACACCAGGCATGGGAAACATCAGGACAAAAGGCTTGTGGATTTTAACCCAATGACTGACTGTAAGCAACTCTTAAGCCTCAAGAAACTTAAACCTAAACCTATATGCTGCAGTCTTTGGTTTAAGATAAAACCGAAAAAACAAAAACAAAAACAAAACACCACTGGAATTCATTAAAATACACACTTTGGACATGAACACTGCCTTCTGGATAATACAGCATATACACAAGAAAACCATGGCCAACTCATCTCCCCACCTTTTAGTAAAAAGACAAAAGGGATCTAACACACTTACCCTCTTACTTTCCTGAAGATTGCATCATGTCGTTCTTTTTCATTTGCGGAGTTGTTTGCTGCGGAGTTGTCATCTCGTCTAGTGCTTCGTGCAGGAATCCATTTCTGAGCGTTTTGCCCTGGGGTTTTCCCCAGGAACTCGCTAGTAAAAATTGATATTTATAATCAAAACAACTTAAAACCTTACTGTCACATATCAAACGTCATACCGATCAGACATCTTTCTAAATAAAAAGTTTACATTTTTTTCAACTTCCTGTACAACTAAGCAACTCACAATCAGTGATTCTCCAACAGTATGCATCAGAATCACCTAAGGGCTTATTAAAACAGATGGCTGGACCTACCCCCAGTTTTGTTTTAGTGGAGCTGGGCAAGGGCCAGATAATTTGCATTCTTATTAACTCCCAGATGATGCCAATGCTGCTGCCCCAAGAGCCACACCTTTAGAATATCTTCTAATGTCTTATGACCATGCTGCATGCATAGGGCTTTCCTACGGATTAGTATGGTAACAGCTGATAATAACTGATTTCAGAAATAACATTAGTGAAAATAATCCAAAGAGTTAAGGGGATAAACAGCAGTCTGAGAGCGCTAATTCAGATGATTTAGCAAAAAGAACAATCAAGAACTAATATTCTAAATTAAGGATATGCAGCAGAAACTGTGCCCAGTAGGATTAGGATTCCTAGTAGTATCTGCTGCTGTACTCTTATGCATGAGAAAAGACTTAATCTAAATCTGCCTTATAAAGCTCACTGTTACTACACACTTACTATACCTGTTGCCAGCAGTCTTGGGATAGTGCTGAGGTGCACCCCTACTTCCTCCTCCGCCCGAAGAAGCACTATTTAAAAAAAAATTTGTTTTTTTTTAAAAAGTAGATGCCAATTATCTCACCTAAAAAGGGCTACTAACGGATATCCTTAATTATTTCAGAAGTATTTCAGAAATAACACCACAGATGGAAGACTGAACTTGGGCCAACTGGAAATGACATTTATCCTCCAGATGGCAAAAATAATGAAAATTTAAAAACTTTTAAAAAGTACACAGTATATTATACATTAAACCTGCAACACATTCAGAATTATTTGGTGTGGTAATTCTTTTAATCTTGTGATTAGGACTCTTCATAACAACTACCAAAAATAAATCTACACATACCTGAAACGAGAAGCACCCCCTTCTGCAATCGCACTCTCCACTTTGGCGGCTTGACAACGAAGAATCTTCAAAAGAATAATATTAATGGATGGGGTGGGGAGGGAAGAGGATGGGAGAAATGAAAAACCTAGAATGAGAAAGAGTACCAAAATTAGACACTGCTAATAAACGAACCTATAAACCTTCCTTCAACTGTAATTTATTTTAGATCTTGGCACTGCAGTTGACTGAACTTTCACTGCATTGCAGATCTCCTAAGACTAAAATAGAATGTACTCAAACACAAGTGGACAGTAAAATTTTATTTTGTTTAGCCACCTGAAAATTCCTTTTATGTTCAAAGATGCAAAGAGCCTTTCACAGGAACAGGAGAACATCTGACTGCGAACAAATCTTTTCAGAGAGCCACATTCTACCTTCTTGAGAACTGAGCACTAAGATCGGTAACAGAAAATCTAACTCCATCAACATGAGCACATTATGTCCTAAGCTTTCACTGCCTTGACGACGAGCCCTGCGGACTAGTAAGAAATAACTAAACACTGCCGAGCAGTTTTCTTCACTGCCCATTCTTTCAACTCCCCCGCACAGAGGGCATCTGGGAAGATGCGAGAGGGACATGGGTGTACAGTGGCTGGCACTCAGAAGGCGGAAGACACGGGCAACAACATGGCAGCAGGAACCTCCGCCCCATTTCCCCCTTCCTGGGAACAAAAGAGCACTGGATTCCTCCCACCCAGGCTGGAGTTAGGGAAGTGCTTCCGACAACCTCCCCGCGAAGCCGCTGCGGGCAAGCCTCGGCGGGGAGGAGCGGAGGCCGCCCCCGCCGGCCTAGCGCCCGGCTCTTTGTTCTCCAGGCAGGAAGGCGGCCTCCTTCCCACCCGCCGCCTCCGAGCGGACCCCCTCCCTCCCCATAAATCCCCGAGGGACTGACAGCCGCCTCTCCGTTTCCTTCCCAGCTGACAAAAGGACGCAAATTCTTGCTTTCTCTCCCCTCTCCCGTCCAGGCGGGGCCCGCTCCCCGCCGACACTGGGGGCCTCAACATACCGCCTCCCCGCCGGGAGGCCGGGCTCCAGGACTCCTGCGCCTCGGCTGGTCCCGCGCCAACGGCCGGGCCCTCCTCGCCGGCCGGCACGTCGCTCCCCGCCGCAGCGCGCGCTGCCCCGCCACGCTCTCTCCCCGTCCGAGCACACCAGCGCCTCGGCCCGCCCGGACCCCGGCCACCGACAGCCACGACTAAGGCTAGGGGCCGCCATTGCTACCAGTTTCCTTCTACTCCGAGAGCAACGGGAAAGGAGAACAAAGGTGAAAAATTTCTAGGTGCCCAAAGAGCGGAAAAAAACGCCAAGAGTCGCCCCGCCCGTCTCCGCCTGCGGCCGCCATTTTGTACCGCTCGAGAAGAAGCGGTCAGGACACGGCGGCCATTTTAGAGCGCTCTATTCGGCTGCGGCGGCGGCGGCGGCGGCGGCGGCTCTACTCACCTTCACCGAGAACCCAGCAGCTGCCGCCGCAGCTGCCTCCTCAGGATCCGGTCGTCGGGGACAGGGAAGGGAGGGGAGAGGGGAACGGAAAACAAAAAAGGGGGAGGGAAGGGGGAGGAAGGAGTCGGAACGGCTTGGAAACGCTCAGCTCAGAGGAGTCGCTGCTGCAGCCACCACCCGGTACTCGCCGCCACCTCCATAGAGCTCCAACTCACTGCTGGCGCTGAGGCGTGTCTGAAGCCGAACTTATCACTCTGGGGCAGCCGAACCCACCAGAGCCGCCCCGAATGGCTCCTTCGTCGCCCAATCAGCAGCCTGACTGCTGTCTGCCACCAATCCGCGCAGGGCGGCGGGGAGGAGCCACAGGGCCAAGCTCGGTTGCAGCGCAGCCCCGCCGCAGTGCGCAAAGCCATATTCGCGAAGGCTCTGAGGCCAAGCTGGTGGCGTAAGGGGAGCTGAGCACTGTCGAGTTGCGGGCCACTTGCGTAAAGTCGGAGAGCCCTTCTGAGTCTGCGTTGATGTGGATGTCTCATCTTCCTCCTGTGTCTTTGTTCCCTGACTCTACAACATGCTCGAGTTGCACACCCCCCTTCCCCTCTACCTCATTTTCTCAGCGGGCATGGGGGGTGGGGTGGTGCGAGGGATTCGCCTTTACCCTACCCTACCAGATTCCTGTCCGTGGCGTGTCAGAGCATTGATCTTCCTGGCGCCCCCAAGGCGCCGTGGTTGCCTCTCGCAGGGCGGGCCTCCCCGGGACGGGCCTGTAGGGTTGAGGCCTGGCGCCCCCGGGGTGCAGTGCCTGGAATAACTATCAGTCTCCAGGTGCTCAGCGTCGGCAGCTTTAGGTGGGTGAGCCGGGAGGATAGGGTTCAGGAAACTAGACGGTGCACCCAGATGGGTAAAGAAGGCTTCATTCAGCTCCCTATTTATTCCACCCCCTGCAGAGTGAATGAGAAAAGGATAAAAGGAAGGGGTTTATGGTCTTTGTACTTCACAGGAGAAGCAGCTTTTCCCGAAGGAATGTCCGGCCAGCGGTCACGGAGGAATACCCAGACCATACCAGACTTCTTTGGAAGAAGTGTTTGCGGAGCGCGGGCATTTGGAGGATTTTAATTGATAGCTGCTGGTTTTTGTTTTTGGGGTTTTGTTTTTAAGCGCGTTGAAGACTGTCAGCTGTGTATTTCCATTTTATGTAAGGTCCACCATAACAAAATAGGATTAGGCTTTTCAAAGCCAGCAGATGAACTATTTTTACTCCTCAGGTAATATTTTAAAGGAGGGCTACCTTAAAATGAAGTGTTCCATCGTTTGCGACATTTTAGCTACATAAAAATGGAGTCCCGGCTATACAAAAATGGAGTCATATTTCCATATACTTAGCAGAAATTTCCCCATCTTCATTTTGAACATGCAGTTCTTGATACATTGTGTATCAAAAGCAAGAAACTGTTTTAACATGCATATCTTTTAAAGCAAGTGTCCAATAAAGGGCTGGATTTTCAAAGACCAGCCTGTGTTTGACATGTCAAAACAGCTCTTGGTGTTGAAAGCACCTAGCCGGTAATACAGTCTTCATGAAAGTTGCAGTTTGTCCTAGGACGTTTTAAAACCTGATAATAGAGGGGTGTGGTGCGTCTCTGAAGATTTCTAACACAATTCCAGCATCTTTTACATCTTTGTCATATATGAGGGGGTTCACTGCCCCTCATATTACTACAGTTATTGCTATTGACTTAATAGCTTGAACTTAAACAAGTGGAAAATACCTCATTCCTGGAGTTAGTTACATGTGGAAAATAAGACATTTTGGGGAAGGGTGAAAATTGTGTTCCAGATACGAGAGGTTTCACTTTGTAATTTCAGGACCCCTGCCGCTTCAAAATAACACCTGAACAGCATTTCTTTATAATATTATTACAGGGCTCTACAGTTTGCAAAAATGCTTTCATATATGTGATACTTTATTTTTAAATAACTGGTTTACATTCTTCATAACTGATAACACATTAATCTGATGGAATAATGCTCAAAACCACTAGATTTCAAAGAGAATATTTACCGAGCTCTAAAACCAAGGTGGTCTTTTGAGGAGTCTGAAACTCAAAAATAAAAAAGGTTTTACTTAATCTTTGATCATTGTGAACGCGGCTGCTGTGGACTTTGCAGTGTGTGTGTGAGAAACTGGGCTGGGAAAAAGTAACCCAATATAAAAAGGTGGAACTATGGATAAAACATAATCTTTCAATTATCTTTCAATCAGTAGGAGAGATATTCACAGTTTTGAAATGTTTCCATCACATCCTAGATGTATGAAAATTCAAGTCATTATCTGGAATTTAGCTTTTAGTTTATAGAAAATTGAATTTTAAATACACCCACTTCAATCTGCTAGTTTTAACATTTCCATTTTATGTCAGTTTTCTGTAAGACTGCAAAACTCTTAGAATCCTGACTGACTTGTTAACTCATATATTGTTGCATTCTTTTAACTAATCATGTCAAATGTTTGTTATTATTCCTACACATACAACTCCACAACAGCTTAAGGATTCCCCATAATCATACATCTCCAGCTCACATCTCGAAGTTCAGCTCTTAATTTCTAACAGCCTATTACTGATCAGCGATGCAAACTTGCAGCCAATATTTCATTTGGGCCACATGGTAATTTTAAACATTTGAATTAGTTGACATTTGAATTTTAGGAGATTTTACACAGAAGTCTAGATATACATCTTTTCATGAAAAATCTTAAAATACGGCAATACTGGGCCTGAAATTCCAACAGGGCAACATTTAAGTATAGCTGAGTAGTGACTCCCTTATTTAAATGTTTTCATTTCACACAGTTAAATCTGACTTGACCCATTCATTTATGTTCCTGTCTGGCCTCTACAAGCCATTTTGCTTTTCTGAGTTATTTGTTCAAACTCAATTTGGTATGTAATTGATCATCATCCTATTATAGGGAAAAGGAGTCAGACTTGTTCAGCTACCTTCTCTACTTCTTACTGTGTAATGTTGGGCAAATTATTTAACTGCTCTCTCCTATTAGTTTCTAAATGTGTAAAATGGGAATAAAAGTATTTATAGAGTTATACAGATTAAATGAGATAATTATATAAAGCACATAGTCCCAGACGTAATAATTACTTAATGTCTGTTACCATATTATCAATAATATTGATTAACCAACTGTTTGCAAGTACTGTAGTTTTGCTAAGGATTCCACTATTATTCTATACCAGAAACTTGACTACATTTTCTCTTTCCTTTTGATCAGGAACACAGATTTCACCCTACTACAAAATGCCTTTTATTTTCCACAAGTAACAAATGAATATTCAATTAAATACTAAGTCCTTGTGTTACTTCCCCTAAATTCATCTTCTTCCTTACAATATCATTGCATACATGCTAATGTAGGCCTTAGTATATTTTTCTCCTAAATTATTGAAAATTTCCAGTTGGTCTCCTATAATCTTTTACTCTGTATACTCATATTAGTCCTCCTTAAAACACTTTTTTTTTTTTTTTTACAACATATTAACCATGCTCAAGAATATTGGTGCTTTGGGGAGCCCGGGTGGCTCAGTCATTAAGTGTCTGCCTTTGGCTCTGGTTGGTGATCCCAGGCTCCTGGGATTGAGCACCACATGGGCCATCCTGCTCTGCAGGATGCCTGCTTCTCCCTTTCCTACTCCCCCTGCTTGTATTCCTTCTCTCCATGTTTCTCTCTGTCAGATAAATAAAATCTTAAAAAAAAAGAGCTTCACTATTTTCTATCAGTTGATCTCAACCTTCACTGCACAGACCTTTTATTATTATTTATTTAATGATGTTATTTTTAAGTAATTTCTAAGCCAATGTGGGGTGTTGAACTCATGACCCTGAGATAAAAAAGTTGCACACTCTAGACTGAACCTGCCAGGCACCCCCCTGAGGACCTTTTAAAATAATGTCCAGGGTGCATCCAGGAACAGATAAATCTGAATCTCTCAGAGTGGGACCCAGGCATCAACCACTTTTTTTTTTTTTTTTTTTGAAGATTTTATTTATTTATTTGACAGAGAGCACAAGTAGGTAGAGAGGCAGGCAGAGAGAGAGGAGGAAGCAGGCTCCCTGCTGAGCAGAGAGCCCGATGCGATGCGGGGCTCAATCCCAGGGCCCTGGGATCATGACCTGAGCTGAAGGCAGATGCTTAACCCACAGCATCAACCACTTTTAAAGCTCTCCATGTGATTCCAATGTACAGTTAAGGTTTGAGAATAACTGTTATAACAGGTCAGAGTTTTATAGGAAATGAAAATTTTACAGCTGAAGAAAACCCAAGAAAAGGAAACTGGGTTCTAGAAAAGGTAAAGGACTTTCCCTAAGTAGGGAAACAAGCATTAGAACTCAAGGATCCCAGTTCATAATGCTTTTCCCTAGCTTTCAAGCCTTTCATATTCGGGCCCTACCCTACCTCTCTGATGGCTTCATTTTTCACCACTCCCAGACACCCAATCTTCTCTCACAGAGCCAGTTAAACCGGTATTGCTGCCTCAAAAAATTCACTGTCCTGATTCTCCATTGCTCCCAATTTTGAGGCCACCCTCATTTAAACCCTCTATCAATTAATTTCTGAAGCACAGATAGGAGAATATAATTGCCCTGTTCAAAAACCTCAGTAAGGTTTCCCATAACAGAGTAACATCCAAACTCCTTAGTTTGGCATAAAAGGCCCTTTGCAAACTTGTTTTAGACGATTTCCCTGTTCCTAGGGACATCCCTCCTCCATTCCTAGTTATCCATAACTAGTTCTATGGTACTCAAATTTTGCTTTGTTATTATACCAGTGTTCTATATCATATGACTAAAATTTGGAGGTCTTTGTCTACTTGGCAGAAAAAAAAAAAGCTACTGAGTTAACATATTAGACCTGGAGCTTGGGCTCTATCTGTCTTTAAGGAGCTCACAATCTAGACAGAAGATACATACACCAATTACATACAAGGACAGGAAAGGATAGAATGAATGCTAAAGGGAGCCACCACGAAAAAGTGCTCTAAGGTTTCATGAGGCTGTGGCCATCGTTCCTTGAGTGTCAGATGATGATTTGGCACTTCCATATGGGCAAAGAAAGTTCCTGAGCTGATCAGAACTTTGATGACTTTTAGCTTAAAGCTGATCAGTTTTAACTGATTGGAGTGTTGTTTTAGGGAAATCAACCTTGTGCCTGGAGTAGAATAGATTGAAAGGCAAACCTGAAGATGGGGAAATCAGTTAGAAGGTTATGTACTCTTATTATTTTTATGGGGCTTATTTTTATCTCCATTTTAAAATCAAAAGGTCCTTGAGATAGGAACATTTCTTTTGCATTTCCAGTAGAGTTCTTTGTACACAGCAGGAGCTGAGAAAATATTTATGCATAGTATCCTGTTGACATTTATTCATTTTTCTCTTGGCCTTGGTAACTTTACATTTTCCAGGATTTCCTCCCACCTCATTGTCTCCTTCACCAATTCAGCTGTCTTTTCTGGCTTCTCCTCCTCTGCTTGACCTCTAAATATTAAAGTACCTAAGGATTTATTCTGGACCTTCTTCTCTTCCCTCTGATTACTTTCCCCCTATCCTATGACTTCAAATACCATTTACATAATGATGATTTCCACATTCATAACTCCATCTCTGATTCAGCCCTCCCCCCATGCAAGCTATAGATATAAAAATCAAATTGCCTACTGAAATTTCCCCATGGGTTTCTGAAAGGCATTTCAAATTTAACATGTTCAGAATAGTTTTTCCTCCATTGTTCACCATCTGCCAGTTGCTAAGGCTAAAACCCTAAGAATTAGTCTTAATTCTGATTACTCTTGTCCCATATCCAATGCATCAAAGTTCTACTGGCACTATCTCCAAAATATTTCTTGAATTGGTCCACTTCTCTTGTCTACATTGCTGTCACTTTAACCTAACCACCATTATCTCTAGCTTGGATTACTCATCTCTTGCTCTCTAACACATTCTCTACCCAGAAGCCAGTCATTTCTTAAAACTGAAAATCAGATAATACCCCTTCCATGTTTAAAACCTTTTGTTCATGGATATACATTATATTCACTGTGAAATCCAAACTTCTCATTGTGGCTTAGATAGCTTTACATGATTCAGCCCTTGAATATCACTCTGGCTTCATCTACCATGTTTCTCCTTGTCCTCTACACTTCAATCAAACTGGTCTTTTTTTCTGTTCCTCACACATTTCAAGTTCCTGCAAAGTTTTCTTTTCTTCAAACATGCAAAAGCTACAGCTACTTCTTTTTCAAGTGCCACTGTCCAAAAAGCTCTTTTCCAGTTTTTTTTTCCATGGCTGGCTCTTTTTCATAATTTAGGACTCAGCTTTATCAACTTGTGGTCACCTCTTTAGAAAAGCCTTCCCTCCTGATCACCCTATATAATATTGTCTTTTCCAGCCATTCTATCATTATGATTCCATTTATTTTTTATAGTCCTTTCACTATA